TTCTTGTCACGTCCCGTCGTTCAAGATTACACATTTAGAGCAAAGATAGCTTCGAGAATGCCTAATACGTAAGCATTATGGCACATTTTGCAGGGATTACTAACGCGGTCGGGCATCATAAAAAGCGAACAGACATGAGGATCGAGAATTTACGTCGCTGTGGCAATGTAGTCCGAACCGATAAATGGTTTGAAGCCAGTCAAAGGAAGTGAGTCCAATTTAAACCGCGACCTGTCCTCTCTCTCTTCTCCAGTTAGGATCTTCCATCCTGCTTTGAAGATCAATTATGATTGTACGTTATAGCAATTTGTCTTCGTCCGCTGGGATAAACTTGCAGTAATCTAATGACTGATTTCTAGGATACTATATAAAACTACAAAATATCGCAATTCACGAAAGAAATTAAATAAAACAAACACACACACACACATACACACACACACACACACGCGCGCGCGCATTACTTGAGGACACAGAAATGAAAATTTATAAGTTATAAAATTTCCATAAACTGAAAATTATATAAGTTGAAAATAACTGGCAAACATCCGCAAACATCAGCAGAGATTTTTCTTAGAAATGCTGGATTTTATTTTCTGTAAAGAAATTTAATCTACTTAAAACTATGTAAAAGAGCAATATACATAAGCACATATGTTATAATATTAAGTAACAAGCGTTTCTTGCTCAGGATTCAAGCGAATAAATTACTACAAAAACAAAGAAAATAATAAAAACCAAATATTTCAATATAAAGAACATATTTATTAAAAAATCAAAATTTTTTAGAATCCTATTTTTGATTTTAAAACTATAATATTAATCTAAAAAGAAAAAGATAACTTTCTTTCTTTAATAAAAAGTAAAGTTATTTTTTCTTTTTTTGGAATTATATTTACGATATTTAAATAACAAGATTCTTTCATTATCGTTGCATTTAAAAAGTTTATGCAATTATAATAATAGTGACTTAATTAAATAATTATAATGTATACACATTAAGCTGCATTTAGATCGATTATCTGAGTGCTTCTATATATTGTTTTATCCTTATTCTCACTCAAAAAAAGGTAAAATGATACGCAGGGATATTCGGATAACATTTCCGAATAGTCTAGGCTAGCAACTCTAGAAGTTAACGAGAATTAAAATCTCCACCGTAATAAAACGGTGTTGATTAAAAATTTAATTAACTTTTCTCCATTAAGCGTCATAAACAATAACTTTGTAATTAGTTCTAATTACCATTGCCATGTAAAATAGATATAAAATGTATTAGTTTGGTGATTAGAATAATTGCGAATTCCATGCGAATAACTAAATTAACATTTCTATATTAATTACATTATTGTGCGTAACAATTTGTCATCAAATTACGTTTGATCAATAGAGTATATTATTTAAATTGTAATGAATAAGAAAGTAATCTTGTAATATGTAATTAAAATATACTGCAAAGCACACTTATTTAATATGTTACTTATAATATATGATTGAGCTCTGTTTCTTTATTTTTTTCAGTATATGCGTTACCGTCGTTGTTCTCAACGTTCATTTCCGTTCACCACAAACGCACAAAATGGCACCTTGGGTGAAAAGAGTTTTCATACACATTCTTCCACGACTACTAGTCATGAGAAGGCCTCAATATAAATTTGAAACTAGCAGGTTAGTATTACATATGTATAATTACAGCATACTAGAGAAAAGTCACCGGCATCACTTTTTAGATAATATTTCTTAAACAAAAGATAAAAATAAAACTTTAAAAACATAAGAACCAACTAAAAAATATCTTCTATTAGATAATATAAGCACTTTTTATAATATTTACAATTTTGCAATAATTAATGTTTTCGTAAGATAAGTAAAAATGAGCATCTGACAAAATAGGCTTCAAAACTGACACAATAGGTATTAATGTTACGTATTCCTATTCTTTTTCTTTTACAGGAATTATCTGTATAAAATATCTACAAATGAATATATATAAGATTTTCCAGATCCTTTTTACTTCGTTATAAAACATTTTTATTGAATTGTATGCATATTCCCATACAGCACAGAAGATTGAAATAATATTGCTGCAATGTTCCTTACAAAAATTTTTCACGATTTTTAGACCTCATATGGACCGTTTTTAGCCTGTTTTTAGCCCGTTTTTAACCCATTTCTATCCTTTTCTTACACTCACAAGCATTCGCGGTGCATCGCAAGGAACGATAACGAGTATAAACGAGTATGCGTATTTTTGAGGAAATCAATACTCGTTTTTCGCAGATGAACGAGGAACGTATATGCGAGTATGATCATGAGTATTTTTGAGTGAATTGTCCATTTTCAATTCTCGTTTTTCGGCTATGAATATTGAGTGGATTGTTCATTTTCAATATTCATTTTTCCGTTAGAAGTATTTTTTAGTGAATTGTCCGTTTTTCAGCTGATAAGTGAAAACACATCCCTCTTTTAATAATCATTTATTTATCACGTTTATTAATTATCACATCAATTTTATATTAAATGATTAAAAATTATTTTATTTTAATCTTTATATGTACAATAATTTTTAAATATTTCATACAATATCTAATAAATTGAAATGGAATTCAAATAATAATGGAATTCAAATAATAATTCAAATAATAACTTCGATATTTATATACGCTGCGCGCCAAGATTAATGCCACAGAAATCAGAAAGAAGGACTTGAAATAATTTGCAGGCAACCAATCTATTATATACGCCTTTATATTATATTAGTATTATAATTTTAATTTTTACTGTAATATTAATAATACTTTTATTATGTCAGTTAAATCGATTTATCAATATAATAAGTAGCGCTATAGTATATCATACAACTCACATTAAATCATTATTATAGAGAACAGAAAAGACTTGATTATTTGATGATACAGAACGAAGTATAGCAAAATACAAGTGCTTAACTTCATTCTTCGGCTTGATGTGATACATCTTCATCTGGGCTGCGTTCAGGAATTACGCCTAGATAACTTTAGGATGCATTTTTGTTATAATATACGTGACGTAACTTACAGCTTAATATACGGAATTTTTAGCGGGTCAAATTTATGCCCAAAACGCATACACATGGATTAAGTATATTGGGAATACAAATTAGTTCGATCCGTTCAAAAATGCTCATGAATTTATTTCAAAACAAAATGAATGAACAGATCAATTAAAGTATCGTCCATCGCTGTCTACTACTTTTTCCCATCTCTCAGGCAATTTTCGAATTCCCTCTCGAAAAAATGATTCGTCTTTGGAGGCGATCCAATTTTGGAGCCAATTTTCGATTTCTGCGAAAGAAGTGAACCGATGACTTGCTGCATCCTTCGGAACAACCAGCAATCAGAAAGAACAATGTCCGGAAAATACGGCGGATGCGGTAAAACATCCCATTTGAGCGTTTCCAAATATTTTTTTACGACTTTAGCGACATGAGCGTTGTCATAAAGAAGAATAACTTTATCATATCTTTGCTCGTATTCTAGCCGTTTTTCTCATGCACGGCTCAAACGAATCAATTGTAACCGATCGCTCGTAATGCCAGGTTTTAGCAGCATAGTAAACAAGATCCTTTTGATCCCACCAGAACATGATCTTCGAATTATGAATGTTCGGCCATGGTGTTGATATTGAGGTCGATGGCAACGATTGACCGCGCTTAGCGTAGTATTTTTTCTTCTTGGGGTTGTCGTAGAATATTCACTTCTCATCTCCAGTCACAATCCAATGCAAAAAAACCTTTTCTCTGTTGTCTTTGAATCAGCTATTCGCAAGTGAAAAATCGTCTCTCGGTTTTAGTTTATAAGGCACCCAATTTCCTTGTTTTTGAATCATTCCCGTAGCTCTCAATCGTACAGAAACGGCTTGTTGAGTTACCCCCAATGATTCTACAAGCTTCTCTTGCATTTGACTCTAATCTTCTTCGAGTAATGCCTCTAATTCTTTGTCTTCGAATTTTTTTGGCTGTCCAGAGCGAGGCTTGTCTTCAACGCTGAAATCTCCATCCTTGAAACGTCGAAACCATTCCCTACATGATTTATCAGGAGCAATGTCACCATAAACTTCGACAAGCATTCGATGGGCTTCAGCCGCACTTTTCTTCCAATTAAAGCAGAAAATCAAAACCTCCCGCAAATGCTGCTTGGTTAACACAAAATTTGACATTTCAAACATAGTAAAAATCAAGGTTTTTGTATGAAACTCAAAGCGATATAAACTAAATATTATTAGCAGATGTTTAACCTCTCTGAAACCGCCAAAATCAGCTGTCACTATGAACCATTCACAACAGTTGGAGCCATCTTTAGGGAAACGGACCGAACTAATTTGTACTCCCAGTGTGTATATTTTTATATATATATATTTTTATATAGTATATTATGTATTCACTATTCATATTTCTTAATAAAATTTTGTAACACATTTAATAAATTACTGCATCATTTTACGTTGTATTTCCAATTATTATTTATAAATCTTTTATGAATCGTATATTCTGAGATGCCTGGGCGCGCGCGCGCGCGCGCGCGTGTGTGTGTGGTGTGTGTGTGTGTGTGTGTGTGTGTGTGTGTGTGTGTGTGAGACACGGTAAAAATGCAAAAATTTTTAAAAATTTCTCTTATATCATATTTAATTTTACATAAAAACTAAATATTTCTTATTTTTAATCTTTTTTTAGTAGACGGTTTTATCAAAATAATATATTTAATCTTAAACATAATAAACAATACTTGATAAATTAAGTTTTCGATAAATGCGACATACATATCGGAGTTATCTTAATATCATCATATATTATATATGTACATATATATAAATATGTACCATTTGTACGTATGTTTATTAATATATCTGTATAATATTATCTATATCTGTATAATATTACATATATTTGTACAATGTATTAATAAATATAATAAATGTAATAAATATAATTACTTTTGTCAAATGTATAAATAAGCACAACAGAGCGAATATCGACATAGAAATTGTGTGGCTCAATGGAAAAGTAGCAGCCTCTTAGAACAGACTTGGAGATCAGGTTTTGAATCTCGACAGGAGCGGAACTGATTTTCTCGTGCTATCGGTTATGCCTTACGAATTATGTATTTTCGAGTAGTGAAAACTCACAATGTGAGTGACAAATGCTAAATGAGTATTTTGCACTCGTATTCATTTTTTCACCTCAAATTTACGCAGCATGTATTTACCACTCAAAAATACTCATAATGTATACATTTTTACCGCTCAGATATATTCGTGTTCTACATGAATCCGTTTTAACCACTCATTTTTACGGAAAAGTTCCTATTTATGATCTAAAAAGAGAGTCATGGTACTCATTCAGTAAAATGCACATTTTCATCACTTAAATTAATCATTCGCGCGGATTAAAAACGGGTTAAAAATAGTGACAAATTTTTATAAGGAGTTGCAATATTGCAGATTACAATATAACATTGCAGAGATATAAATTAATAATTCATTTTTATATTTAAATAAAAAATTTATTAATCTATTATTTGACAGCTATTTCATTAGCTAAGTTTTATATTTATTTTAAATATGAAATCAAAAGATTTTATATAATATCGAATTTGGATACAATCAATGCATCATGATCGGATAAAATGATAAACAGTTAAACTGCTAAAAACGATTTATCGAAATATTAATTATATGATCGATGATGTATTGTATGCCTGATGTGAACGCAAAAATAAACAGCGCCTGAACTTTATTGATAAATTTCATATCGTCATTTTTTAATCGATTTCAATTGACTCGATTTTGAATTAAAAAGAATCACTGCGATTAACTTAATCTCTGATTAATTTACCAAGCGACTGTATTATTATATTAATGTGATTAATATTTGTAGTTTTCGGAGCACATATATACATGCTTTATCCTTACGAATAAATTTATCCTTCAAAATTGATACATTTATTGGAATGTTTTATGATTTTATAAAAAAATTGCTTTATAGAAAACACATATCACTAGAAATGCGAAAAAATTAAAGTTAGTGAGATATATGTACAGAAAATAGTTTTCATTTTAGAGTCTTCGTAAGAAATTTATTCAAATACATTGAAATATTAATATTGAAACATTTCGTGCAATATAACAAAAAGCGAACATCTTAACATTGTTGAAATCTTACAGCAATGATTCAACGTTTCGCAACCACTATGCAATATTGCAATGTTTCAGTGAAATTATTCTGCAATGTTTCTGCAATCTTTCTCTGCTGTATGGGTTTACTTTATGCTGTTCTGCAAGATGAAAATATGTAACGCGATAGTTATTCAAGAATTGTTTCATATATGCGATTACCTTCAATAGAATTATTTGACCCTACAAAGCAACATTATAAAGTTTATTCATGGTCTGTTTTATAGACAGGTGTGGCGGTTTACGCACCTCAACTTTAAATTTAAAATCGTATTATGAAAAAACTAAGAAAAAAAAGTAGAAATAAAACTGATTTAGAAAATTACAAGCATTTAAAACAACATAATATTATCAATAATATAATCAATAATATATAATCATTATTATTTAAACTACCTAATTTACAAAAGAAAATCAAGAATTTTATTTTCGTATTCATAGAATGCGAATTCGTTTTTATATAATTTTGAATAAAAACAAACCATAATATACAAATTATGAATTTATATTTCTTTATTTAGCTAAACAGATTGATTTTATTAATGTGATGATTTTATTAATAAAGTGCAATAGTTAGTTTCTAAGAAATAAGGAGATGTTTAGGAGACCTATATCAGTATCGGCGACTTTTTTCTATTCAAAGACATATGAATTTATTCCTATTGTCAGCGTGATAAGATACAAAGTTTTCTTAATTTTTACTTTAAATCGAGGGAAATTTTAATTTCAAATTTTTTTATCAATATGTTTATTAGAAATATTAGATAATAATATTAGAAATTAAAAAAAATATAGAAAGTATTAAATTCAAAATTAAATAATCGGGTTCTCGAAATTAAAAAACAAAAATATAATGTATGGACAATGAGAACTTTACACAGCGCGGGAGTTATTGCGCAATTTATATAATAGTCATAAACTCTTCACATAATATATTAGAAACAATTTTTCAAGATACTCATCCTTGCTTTCACATAGAGCATAACTTCAACAATGTCCAACAATACATTCCTGTCCTGTCAATACATATTATATTCTACGACTTTGAAGATGATTTGAAGTAAACCGAAACGTCCGAATTAAGTCTGTATTGAAAAGTCATTGTTTCTAATATATTATGTGAATTTATAACTATTATATAAATTGCACAACAACTCCCGCACTGTGTAAAGTTCTCGCACACATTATCCATACATTATATTTTTGTAAAGTATTAAATGTTCATGAAATCTAAGTAAATCCTTATTTTTGCGTATTATTTATGAGGTGCTAGTGATAACAATCTCAATCAGGAATTTCATTACGCGAGATTGCGTCATAACAATAACGTTATACATACTTAGTACGATTATACCTTATATTCTACTCTCAATGATCGCACCGCCAACTAGTCCGCCGTTTTCCAGAACATGGCACCCGCATTAAAATTCCGTGCCCAATTGTTTATGTTTTGCAGGTACACTTCCGGCAGAGTGCTAATGAGGACCGTTAGAGGAAAGGAGAAGACTTGCTATTATCCTTACCCGTCGACTCAGGAAGACAGTGAAGAACATCTTACACCCAAGAGATTCCATAGCCGTCCTCCGTCAAAGGAAGATCTCTCGCCTTCCAGGTATTTACGACAATACAAAATATTTCTACCAACTAGCTTTGATCCTTATATTATCGTTGAGATTATCGTTGAGATTTATTACATTTATTACTTAATGATCCATTATTTTGTTGAAAATGCATATGTGTATATATATATATATATATATATATATCGCAATTCAAACAGTTACTGATATATAATAGCAAAGTATATATTCTTTTAAAATGGTCCGAATCAATTTACAAAAAATACACAATTTAAAATAATATAATTGAGAAAATATAAAATCACAGAAAAAACTAAACTGTATACAGTTATAAAAAAGTAACAATTAAATTATAACTAATGCTAATATACAAACAATAATAATAATGTATATCAATATAAAACAGTCTCAAATTACCAAATACACAAATTAAGATGAAATAAAAATTAAAATAATTATACCTTAATCTAAGTCATACTGTTCGCTTCAATGATGTCAATTAATTATATCAGTTTTGTATCGTCAAACAACACATATACAAATAGGCAAAATGCGAAAGAGTTCTAAGACATTATGAAATGAAATGACAAAACAAAGAGAAAGGAAGGCTGTGAAATAAGAATGGAAATAAAGTTAGAAAGAGAAAAAATAGGAGCAAGAGAGGGAAAACAAGGAATAGAAAATGAATTAAGAGAAAGAGAGTGATTTTATAATTTGGTGATAAGATTCAGGTAATAATTTTTTAATTTAGTTTCAATCTATCTATTTAAAGAGCTTTTTCATTGTGAATTATTTCTGATATCAATCTTTTATGATGGTTCATTATTTAAAATTTTTATCTCCTTCTAATTAAAATTATGATTATGACTAACTCGATGTTCTGTAATAACCGATGGGGACCCTATTTTTTTATTGATATCTGAAATATGTTCATGCAATCTAGTTTTTAATTTTCTTTTTGTTTGGCCATGTAACTAGCCTCACAATTCTCACATGATATTTGATGAACCGTATTCTGATTGAATAATAATTGATCCTTTCTTTTTTTTGAAACTTTTAAGAATATTTGGAATGGTAAAAGACAAGCTTACAATTGAATTTCATTGCTATCGGTAAGAAACTTTTAGATATTGATTTTACATAAGGAATGATAAAAAAAATTTTTCTTTAGTGTGTGTATGAATTTTTTCATGTGTTCACATTAAAATGCAAAAGCAAGGTTTAAATAGACAGGTTGAAACTGAATCGCTGAACTTTATCATCAAATTATAAAATCATTCTTTCCCTCTTAATTCATTTTCTATTCCTTTCCCTCTCTTGCTCCTATCTTTCCCCTTTTTAACTTTATTCCCACCATTCTTATCTCACATACAGCCTTCCTTTCTCTCTGCTCCGTCATTTCATTTCATAATGTCTTAGAATGGCGAAGCATCTTAGAACTCTTTCACATTTTGTCTATTTGTATATGTGTTGTTTGACGATACAAAAGTGACTTGATATATTAATTGACATCATTGGAGCGAACAGTATAACTTAGATTAAGATATAATTATTTTAATTTTTATTTCGTTTTAATTTATGTATTTGATTAAGACCGTCTTGCATTGATATACATTGTTATTATCCTTTGTATATTAACATTAGTTATAATTTAATTGCGACTTTCTTATAATTATATACATAGTTTAGTTCTTTCCATGATTTTATATTTTCTCAATTATATTATTTTAAATTGTGTATTTTTTGTAATTCGATTCGGATCATTTTAAAAGAATATACTTTGCTATTATACAATATATCAGTAACTATTTTAATTGCTTTTTTATAATTATATACTGAATTTTATTAAGTTATATTGTGTTCCATTAACAGATCTCTTTATTATTATCTGCAACTTCCAAATAACTATATATAAAGTATGGCTCAATTACATATTAACTGTGACAATAGATATTTATAAAAGGTATCGTCTAAGATATAACAAATCATGTTAATTCCTATTTCTTTTGTGATTGCATGCCGTTAAATGGCCACTTGTTCAAAATTAAGTTTTAAGTTTATTTTTATTTGTATATTGAAAATGACACGATCGTTGTCGGAACATATGTTATTTGTTATTTGAACATTAAATGTTTTTTTGAATTAAATTTGAACATTAAATTATTGTTTGGCTCATAGCTCTTCTTTTTTATTTGTATTGATTTATTTTTTTAGCCATATTATTACTTATACTTTATAATTATAAATTTAAGCTTGAATAAAATGGCACTAAAGTGCTCTCTTTTTTATAATAATAATGAAAAAATGTTGCTCACGATAGTAGAAGTAAAGCTCGTTTCTCAAAATAACGAGCAAGGAACACAATTAACAATGTCTTCGATTCATTTCAGCCTTACAGACGGTGCGAGATTTGGAGGCAGTTGCTTGATTCATGGCCCTCCGTTACCACCGTTACACACCGAGTGCGAAGATCTCTCGGTCTCCGGAGACGCAGGCATAGAGGAAGTCAAGAGTCCCGCGCTGCGCAGCCCACCCGTCTTCTCGCACTCCCGTTGTCCACCGGAGGTGCATAGATCCTGCATCTGCGTGCGCTTCATTGCGGAGCATACCAAAATGTTGGAAGACTCGACTAAGGTATAAAATCTATTGAAATAAATAGAGAGACATAACTTTTAATAAAAATTTTATTTGATTTCGATTATTGCTTTTTTCTTATACATAATAGGAAAGATCAAACTCCACAAAAATTTAGTACTTTTAAATATAAGATTCTTTTATCTCATTTTTTTATATAGAAAATTGCGTATTAAAGAATTACGTATATTTAAAAATACAAATAAAAATATATTTTATATATTGAATATATTTGATAAATATAATTAATTGATTTTTAAGGAAAAAATAAAAATGTATTTTTTGAGGAATCACCCAAAATGCCTCATACTTGAGGCACTATGGATTACACATTAAAAGTTTAGGCTTATAAGTTTAAGAAATAAGAGTGATAAAAGTTGAAAAGAAATTTTAATTAACTTACACAGCCATAATCATTAATATGATAAAACATAATTACAACGATTAACTATAATTATTAATTAATAGAATAAAAAATCCATAAATAAATATATTAATCAATGAATAAATGGAAAATTTATGAAGTGAATGAACTTATAAATAAAATTAAATAATATTTAGGTTTATAAACTGTCATTCTAGCGTAGGTATAAATTAATTTGTTTTCTCATATATTTAGAGTGTGACCGATAATGTCCCAAACTTTTAGAGCGGTATTCATAGTTGGATCTTATATTTATGACTGTCTTAAGATACAATGAATCAATCAGACAGCCGATAGCATCTTAAAGAGTAATATCTAGGTGAACGCCTGAAAACATAGGATAACTTTGTGAATTTTTTAATCAAATAATAATTAAAATGAGTGGAAATTCGGATTGAAGGCTTTTAGTGTACATATATCTAAGTACACAAAACAATTTTTATTTAATTTTTTTGTGTCAAGATGGCGGCGCTGGAGCTTTGCAAGTGAGACCGCGTTTTTCTCATTGGCCTCCGGGGCAACAGAAGTACCTTCTACTTCTTTCACTAAGAACAAAAAACAAAATTTTTTTATAATCTACATTAAATTTGCTAGAGAAGTATATGTTAAATACACACGTATATGTTAAAATATTGATTTTTGTAGAAATGATGAGCATGTGAATACAAAGTTTCATTTTCATCCAAAAAGTTCAGTAAAAAGGTATTTATAACAAAAAAAGTTTTTAATCGATCGTAAAAATCATGTGTACTTCTCTAGAGAATTTAATTTAGCAATTGCTGTAAAAATTTCAAGTAGATATCGGATAAAATTTGTTAAAGTTATGCTGCTAGCCAATTAAAAAAACGTGGTTTCGAGAAAAACATGTTTAAAGTTTTGAGTAACATTATGTTATATTTAATTATAGGAATTTTTAATTTATCTTTAGTCTGCGATACCTGCATCATGTAACTTTCTTTTCACATTAATATTTACTTCCTTTTCCTCTTTCCTAAAAGATGTGGAGGCTCTCCGAGCGTCCTTAGCGGCATCCGTAAGCGAGCGCTCAGCAAACTTGACGCAGCACGTCAGCCTCAACGCAGAAATTATAGCAATTATGACCTACAGTCAGTTGTAACACTTGCATAATTTCCATTATATTTGACAATCCATCATTGAAAATGCAAATTGCGATATTTGCAGCGATGTCGACTATTTTTTTGTCACTTGAAGATGTTTTTGGAGCGAACGACCACACAATCGAATTGAAGTTTTCATTGCTATTTTGCGTGAAAGCAATGATTGAGTAATTCATCCCTACTTAAATTCTCACTAGCTTCACAGCATCAAAAATTTTCTCTGAAAGAGACGTTTTATGCTGATAATTATGTATATAATTTGAAATCTTCGTTTTTTGCCACGAGCGCCACGAATCCGCACCGCTCAGGCACTTATCGTATTAAGGTATAATTTCATCCGTCGAAACTTTATGATATAGAGTTGCCCAAATATCGTTCCGCATTTTTTCAGTGGAATCCAGATTTCGACGAATGGCTAAGCCATTATAATAATACAGTGAACTAGTCAATTAATTTATCTTTTCCGTTAAGATTTTTCATGTTCTTCTTTAAATTCTGTAGCCGAGAGCCCATACGCTTCCGCACATGGTCTATGTATTCTTTTTTACAAACTGCATAAGATTTAGCATCTAAAATTCCCATGAATGTTGCTGTCTCCATCACCAATATAATTTACATATTTAATATTATGGAGATCTTCGGAACGTGAAAACATCTCGATAATTGCATCCATCTTTGCAGCTGACTCGGTATGATTCGCTTGGCTCCGAATGTGAGTTAGCTCCATTCTTCGTATTCTGCAGTGTCCTTTTTCTTTATTCAAAAGTCGCAAATTTTATAGTATTTCGATTTAACACAAATATCGAATTTTGCTAATATACCACCCGATGAGCGTGACTAATCCAGAGTGTGAAGAAAACGACGAAAATCTTCGCTTTCTCCACATCTCATCGCTAGATACAATAATTCCATTATGTCCTTTTAATGTAGATAATTTTTTCTTCAGTTGCTTTCTTAACACATTTTGAACTAATAGCTTCCATTGCGACATAAATGTTATTAACGATACAGTCATAAGTTGATTAAAAAATTGGCCGTGGCAGATCCATAAACGCGCAAAATTTAATAATACCGTTTAAACTAATTCCCAATAATCGCATCGTTTCAACAATTATACTGACAGTTATATTTCAAATTAAAACTTACTAACATTTAGAATGACATATTAAATTATAAATATTCATTGATTGATATTATGTACCTACAGATTGCAGAAGCCTTAATTACTACGCGCTCCTTCGATGAGCTTAGATGGTATCATACCGCGCTTTAAAAAAACCGCTGCAAAACTCTTAAAAAATTTTTTTGACGTATAAGACCAATTGTATCTTATTTCACAAGACTCTAAAGTATCATTTTAGACAAAAAAAATTTTTTCGATTTTTCGAAAATTTTCACCTAGATATTACTCCTTAAGTGCGTTACACGTGTGTGTGTGTGTGTGTGTGTGTGTGTGTGTGTGTGTGTGTGTGTGTGTACATATACTCTACATACTGTATGCAAATATCTTAATTTATAATTAATTAAAATGAGTACGGTTCAATTGAAATAAATCAACACAATACATTAATAGGACTCAACATAAGATGTTATTAGTGTGAAATTTGATTTATTCATAAATCACAATTTGTCACAATTGCAAAGATTTCGATTCAATTTCGGATCCTTATCAATGCTAATTGTGTAAATTGAATTATAATTAAAGATTCTAATGACAACTGAAATTAATCAGCTGGGTGTAATAATGTATCAACAATATCACTGCGCTTCCAGTACATTATATATGCAGTAATTTATCAAATCATTATTTTCAGTTATATAATTTATATTTTCTTGTATAAGTCTTATCTTGCTTATCTCGTCAGATGAAACTCAATACATCAACAGCTTAAAAATACTTCGATATTTATGTAATAAATTTTCGTGTTACAAATTTTATTTCTATTGTAACTGAAAATAATAATTTGATAAATTGCTGTATCGGAAAATGCAATGACATCATTGATACATCATTGTCCCCAATTAGCTAATTCCAATTGTGATTAGCATCTTTAATTATAATTCGATTTACGCAATTAGCATTGATAAGGATCTGAAATCGTTTGCGATTGTGACAATTTATGAATAAATCAAATTTCATATTAACATCCTAGCTGTTATTGCATTAATTTATTGTATCTTAATTTATATTTTATATGTATTTCATTTGCGCATCCATTTCCGCGTCCGCTTCTTTTTTTTTGTGTATAAAATTTGAAAATTTGATTATGTATATGTATAAAAACTTGAAAATATTTTCGTCACTATAAATCGAAAATATTCCCATGAATCAAATCCCATCAATCAAATCATTCCTCTGCGCAGGTAAAAGAGGATTGGAAGTATGTGGCGATGGTGCTAGATCGCCTGTTCCTCTGGATCTTCACTCTGGCGGTTTTGGTTGGTACTGCAGGCATCATTCTACAAGCACCGACTCTTTATGACGATCGAGTACCTATCGACAAGAAATTTAGCGAATTCGCTACCACAACGGTGGTAAAATGTCCGCCCCAGTAGTCCACGCCTGAGCCCTGTACCGTAGAGAAAGACTAAGGACCAAAAGCCTGGACCTGGTCTTAGGAGTATTCGCTCATCTCCTTATCCTTAATGACAAAATTACGGCAAAAGGGCTCCGATTTTGTAAAGAATGACCGAGAGTATACGATTGACGATTTCAAAAACGACGAGTGGACGTAAACTCCTTTTAGAGAAGGATAAAAATCAGAAAAATGAAACATATTGTTCTAGAGAAAGAGAGAGTATCGGTAGAAAGATGAGAACCGTCTCGAAAAAGAAGACGATATATGTCGTTGTAAAATCTTGAAACGAGAGAACTTGGGGCGACGTCGTGTTGTCGCTTGAACAAATTGCAATTGGTATCTCCTAAACAGGGACACATCACTCGCGTGATGGGCGTGAGATTCGCAAGGAGATTTACGTACCTACATAGTCTGCTCAAGTAAATTGTAATACGAAGCTGCCACTATTTAATCTGGTAACACATCAGGCTGACGGACGTTACGATATAACAGTATATAGTATAATTTTAATGTTCCAGAAATAGGGATTAAACGCGATGATCAAGCTTTCGATCTCCGCCTATCGTTTGTCTAAACGCACGCGAACGGGCATTAAATTATCATTCGAATAAAATTTGGAATAATAATAATAAAATAATAATCTCGACATGAATGAAAGCTAACACGAAGTTAATTAATGTCATATTTTAGTCTACGTTGTAGATTTATAATCTAGAACAAGGCAGCCTACAAAGATAGCTTTGATTGTTGATGATGTCGCGGTTGTATTGCTGCAGCATCTTGCATGGTTTACAATGAAGATTTAACGCCATAATAAACGTGCAAAGATTTTTCTTTTTTAAATGATTTTTATATTAAACGCGATGTATCAATAACTCTATAGCTTGTCGCTGCGTGTGCAATTTACTGAAGCTTGAAGCTTGCAAGCTTCTGCATTACAATAAAATGCGAATAAGAAGCTGCAGCACATCAATACAATTGACAACAATCCATACGCAAACAATACTTCGCTCGAACGATGAAAGTCATGTTTCGCGAGCGTTTTGTCTTTTACAACGCGGGCTGGGAGTCGCTCGCACTTACGCGAATTAATTAGGTAATCGGCGTGTAGCTTGTCGTACTACGCAGACCTTAGGGTGTATCCTTACTCAAAGTATATAATCAGTTGATAATTTTACAAACAACCGTTTATACGAACATAATATATACATACATATATTTAAGAGTAACGGACGATAGCGCGTCGGTAGCGCGAAATACTATTCGACTGCATGTATTATCCTAAACATTTAATCAACTTCCTTTCTTTTTACTAATTTCTTTTTATTATTAATGACTATATTTCTATAATTACAATCTTTCTGTAACTTTACATCTATTATTAATTCTCTCATTCAACGCTTCTTGATCCCTTTCCCTTTTCCGATAAGCGATGTAAATATCTTTATTCGTACGCAACATTATTTTTTGTTCTCTTCGCTGTTCTCTTTATAAAGAAGAGAATGCATATCTTATGTCGCCGACGCATCTCGCGATCCCTCTCAATAAGAATATATTATACTTTGTAACGAAAAATGAAACACATGAGAGTATGATAAAGAATAACCGATAATACGGTAAGAACAAGTAAAGCATACGAATTCTAAAGCTGATAGTTGTAGGGAATTGAACAACCATTGACGCCGTTGTTCAAAACCGTAGTTTGTGATTGTTGTCACTGTGAGTCGTTATTTATTATTTTCGCTCTTTTTCGTTTCCTTTTATAGGCAAAGCGTCACGTACGATATTTGTCATTGTGGTTAAACGATTGTCTGTCGCGAATCGTTCGTGCGAGTAAGCACAAAGATGATCGTAACTGAATCGTGAAATGTGAATCGTAATCATAGGTCAACAATGTTTTGATCAACTACGACTCACGTTTCACGATTCAGTTACGGGCTCTTTATGCTGAGGCCGTTATTCGCGAGAAATGTTAACGTCGGAGAATTTTGGATCCTCTTCCTGTCTAATTTGTTGATTTTTCGCGTATTTCGAAAAATTTTGGAAATGAAACTTTTTCTATAATAATAATTTAATGCAAATGTAATTTATTACAAAGTTGATGGGGACACTGATCAACGTATTATTAATTTATACAGGATAGGTTAGAATTTTTATTAATTTAAGTTTGAAAACACTTAATTGATCATTTTCTTATAGATTAAAATAAATGTGATTTTATTCTAGGATAACATTTTCATACATCAAAGAATTTTTTTCTTTTAATAAAACAAGATTCACGATTGATTTTATCTTTTAAGTCGATTAATATTCGCATCGATATATCCAATTCTCCGACATTTTTAGGACATTTACAGTGAATGCACTAGTTCATTTTAAAGCCTTGTACATCGATCTCAATGAGAAATGACAATGAAATTGACATCAAATCGATGTCAATTCGATGTCGAAATCATCAAATTGACGAAATCATGATTCGATATCGATTCCATTGTCATTTCTCACTGAGATGTAATCTATGTAAAAGTAAAAAAAGATGCAAATCTTTTGAATTATAAAATACAGATTTTACTTAACACCTAATAAAATATATATAATATTGATGATTTCATGATTTAATCCGTTTTTATGTTTATATTAAACTCGTATTTTTAAGTCAATTTGTATACGGCTTTAATGTGTATCAGTGCATATTGAATGCATCTAATTGAATTCACTTTAGTCATAACTAACGAGTAATAATTTTCTAGATATAATATTGTAGTTGAACTGTAAATATATATACATATTATTACGGGAGGGAAAAAATAAAAATTCCCCATTACTACTGCCATTAAAATGCAACGCCCGTACTTTAAGAACGTTTTTACGCCATCACTCGAATGACCATCGATCGTTCTTCGTAAAGAACAATTTCCGGCATACGATTTTTCTTTCGTTCACCAATCGATCGAGGAGAGATCGGGTCAACGAGAAAATAGAACTTCATGACAGTAACTTCTTCTCGAAACTCGGATGAATTTTTCTGTCTAATTGATCATATTGCAGCGATGCCAATCGATCTATGCCGGATATTGTACAAAAGTATATACCATTCGATTGAAAATCGTCCAGTGAATGCCGAAGCGTTAAGGAAATAAACAGGCGTGCACTTAGTATCGTAGACTCAAGAAATTATTCTCCTAACGAGAGAAAACGAAACAAATCTACTCCGCACTAGATCGTTAGGAAAACAACGCACACATTTTCTATAATAAAGCTATGTATTTATTTGTTATAAAATGATACGATCGTTAATATTCACATCAACGATGATTGTAGCAAGTATGGCATTTAATCTCTAATTAATGCGTTGAGACAATATGTTAGAGTCCTAATTTCAACTTTAACTTTTGATGAATTATTAGAAAAATAAGAATATCAATTTTAACTAACTCCTTGTTTTATCACACAATTTAATTGTTACATAAATATTATATTTAATCATCGGTTGTATTCCGAGTTATGATCATTTGTCCTCGTTGTTCACCAAATAATAAAGAAAGATAAAACTATACATCATGCGCTTCATGCGTATTTTGGAACGCACCCATCATATATTTATTGCAACAGCGATAAAACAATAACGCCGCTTGGAATTAATTTAATTAAATAATAACGGTATCTGAATTTAACAAGTAATTAAATATTAACATAAGAATTAAGAATATAAAGACAATTCCATTTTTCTATCAGAATATAAAATATTGAAAAATTTTAAAAAACAAAAAGTTTTAGGGGAAAAAATTCCGACAGAAACAAATTCACTATTATACTTACAAGTTGAATAATTTACAATAAATATAATGATTCTTCTTCTTCTTCAAGTGCCATACGTTATCACCAGCGTGTAGGCGTTTCCCTCTTTTATAAATCTGAGCGCACACTGATCGTACACAAGGTATATAGAGACCTACAGTTTAAACGATTCTGAACGGTAATTTTCGGAGGGAAGTTTCCTGGGCAAATATATATATATATTATTCGGTGGTTTGTCATTGCTTTCCGAAAGGAGCTATGAGTGTACGAAAATTTTCGGTTCTGCATCGAACCTGGGATCTTTAGTATAGCAGAGTACCGTCTGCTACACCACGCTTGCGCTCAATATAATGATTACATTTAATAAATTGGAAAGAGATTTTAATTTTATAAATTAAATATATATTATTTTAAGTTATTTCTAATAGCTACCAACTTTCAATAATTAATTTAGAAATTAATTTTCCGTAATTTTTTATTGTCACCAACATTAATGAAAAGCAAAGAGTTGTACTTACGCTAAGACAACCTCCTGCAACATACATCGCCAACTGCAGAAATCACGTCGATGTGATCGAAATATTCGATCGATAGAATGATTTTAGATTACGCGAAGCAAGATCGAATGAGAGAAAAATAGAACGAATGAAGTATGTGCATTTATAGGTAATAACTATTTAACTGGATAATAAATTATTTAACAGAATTAAAATGTAAATACTGTGTACATAATGAACGTAGCGATAAATAACAGCTATAAATGGATTGGGTCTTTTTTACGATTTTCAAATAAAATTGGTACTTTTCCGAAAAATAGCATGGGGCTTTAATACTCGTCATACTCGTAACACATTATTATGTATATTATATATCTCGCAATTTTTTTAATAATTTTAATCTTTTATTATCCAAATATAATACGAGTATATTCAATTCTCATTTGATTGAAACGATAGAAACATTTTCATCAGAAAATAACTACTGAATTTGAGAAAATAATTCATGACATGTTAGCATTCACTAATTGTTTTTAATACTAAACTATGTTTGATTAAATTCTATTTATTGACTATTCTCTAAACAATTATTACTTATTAAACTTAAATAATTAATTCATATAATCTTCATTCTTTTTTTGTTATAAAAAATAAAATTTTCACTGTACAAAAATAATTTTGA